TATAGTAGATATGGCTATATCTACTTAATCAAGCATAAGTCAGAAACCTTTGAAAAGTTCAAAGAGTTCAAACAAGAAGTCGAGAATCAATTGGACAAGAAGATAAAGATGGCTAGATCCGACAGAGGCGGTGAGGATCTTAGTATAGAGTTCCACGACTACCTCAAGGAATATGGAATAGTTTCTCAACTGACACCTCCTAGGACACCGCAACTTAATGGTGTGGCTGAGAGGCATAATCGAACCTTGTTGGACATGGTTCATTCCATGATGAGTCGAGCTTAACTTCCAATCTCTTTCTAGGGGTATGCCTTATAGACTACTGCCCACATTCTTAATCTTGTCCCAACTAAGAAGGTTTCCAAAACACCTCACGAAATGTGGACAGGGAAGGTTCCCTCGTTAGTACATATCAAGGTTTGGGGTTGTGAAGCTTTTGTTAGGAGAGAGACTCACGACAAGCTTGAACCTCGATGTGAGAGATGTATTTTCATTGGCTACCTACAAAAGTCCTTTGGATATTTGTTCTACAGACCTAATGAGAACGTGGTCTTCGTAGCACGAAGGGGAGTCATTCGCGAGAGAGCGCTCATATGTAAAGAGGACAATGGGAGTACTATTGATGTTGAAGAAATTCAAGAGTCAAACGATGAAGGAACTTCTGAAAATGCTAGGGCTCAACCCGAGGTAGAAATTCCAGTTGAACCAACTAACGAGTCTTTACCTCTTAGGCGTTCCACTAGAGTTAGAATACAACTAGAGTTGCATGGTTTCCATATTACCGCAGAAGGTGATACGTTTATCAGTGATAGTACACTGGTAAATTTGGATGAACCAGCTAACTACAAGGAAGCCATGGCAGGCCCTGAGTCAGCCAAGTGGAAAGAGGCAATGGACAACGAGATCAAGTCCATGTATGAAAACCAAGTTTGGAATTTGGTTGACAATGTACCAGGTCGTAAGACAGTTGGGTGCAAATAGATCTTCAAGAAGAATACCGACATGGATGGAAAGGTACACACTTTCAAGGTTCGACTGGTTCCGAAAGGCTTTACTCAAACCCCATGGGTTAACTATGACGAGACTTTCTCACCAGTGGCCAAGATAAAATCTATTAGGGTAATGCTAGCCATAGCTACATTTCATGACTATGAAATTTGGCAAATAGATGTCAAAACTGCTTTCCTTAATGGGAAGTTGGCTCATGTTTACATGAGTCAGCTAGAGGGTTTTGTGGATGCAAAGTATCCGAATAGATTGTGTAAGCTTGAGAAATCAATCTATGGATTGAAACAAGCTTCTCGCAAATGGAATCTTTGCTTTCACGAGAAGGTCAAAGAGTTTGGTTTCTCTAGAAGTGAAGATGAATCTTGTGTATATGTCAAAGCTAGTGGGAGTATAGTAACCTTCTTGGTTTTGTATGTTGATGACATACTTCTTATAGGAAATGACATTTTAACTTTACAAGAAGTTAAGTCTTGGCTTGGAAAGTATTTCTCTATGAAGGATCTGGGAGAGGCTGCTTATATTCTAGGGATAAGAATTTTGAGAGACATGAGTAAAAGGCTAATTGGACTTAGTCAAAGTACGTATTTGGAAAAAGTACTAAAGCATTTTAGTATGGAGAATTCCAAGAAAAGGAGAACTGTCCGTACAGAGTAATACCAAACTAAGTAAGACTGAAAGCCCGAGTACTGATGCAGAGATAGCAAAAATGAGTAGAGTTCCATATGCTTCCGTCGTTGGATCTATCATGTATGCTATAACATGTACTCGCCCTGATGTGGCTTTTTCTTTGAGCATGGTTAGTCGTTATCAGGGAAATCCAGGTAGAGCTCACTGGATAGCAGTTAAGAATATTCTTAAGTATCTGTGAAGAACCAATGGATGGGTCCTTGTGCTTGGTGGCAGTGATAACTTAAGAGTAACTGGGTATAGTGACGCCAACTTTTATACAGACAGAGGCAACTTACATTTTCAATCTGGATGGGTGTTTACCCTTAATGGAGGAGCGGTAACCTGGAAAAGTTCCAAACAGGAGATAGTGGCTGATTCTACCTATGTTTCAGAATACATAGCAACAAGCGAAGTATCAAAGGAGGCGATTTGGTTAAAGAACTTCATTGGAGACCTTGGAATTGTTCCAGCCATTAAGGAGCCAATGGAGATTTTCTGTGATAATGAAGGAACGGTTGCCTTGACAAAGGAACTAAGAGATCATGGCAGATCGAGACATATCGACAGAAAATATCATTTCATCAGACATAGAGTAGAAGAAGGTCACTTCGTCATGAAGAGGGTGTCACAGAAGAGAATCCAGCAGATCCCCTCACAAAGGGTCTGAGTAGGGTCAAGCACATTCAACATGCTAGGAGCATTGGTCCGAAGGATGATATTAATTTTAGTAGTTAGATCAGTATTTAGAAACTTGTAACGAAATAAATGTAATTGACTTTTGGTGATTAAGTAATGGAGATTTATTTATAAGTTGGATTACTACCTTTTGTCTATTGTTTATTTTGTGTTTCATTTTGCATGTTTTAGTTCCAGAATAATTGGATTATTAAAATTCCACAGTCGTTCATACTTTTGGAAGTAAGTAGTGAATTAAGGATGTCATGAATTGGGTTGTAGATTGTCTAAGGGTTTAGACATAGCAATGGTTTGCTGCAACATTCATGAGTACTTGAAAATAGGGATTTTAAGTATTGGATTAGCCCACGCATAGAGAATTACTTCATGGAATTTATCATGAGTAATTTTGAGACGATAATATCTTATAATCTTTAAACAGAGATATATGAGTCGTGGTTTACAAATCAATTATGCATTGATAATATGTAAACGCATCAGTAACTTGGTGTTATAAAACGTATTGTTGTGCGTAATTTGGTGAGTAAATAACACAAGCATATAAGTCAAAGTTTATATGATCCTTTTTCCTTAATGGGAAAAGTGATATCTTTGGGACCCTCAATGACTTGGTGTTGACTTATAGTATCGGGCACGTCCAAGACTAAATTGACGTGTTCAGTTAGTAGTTCTTTGTCATTACAAATCAGAAATCGGGAAACAAATTATTGTACAATGTGTCTCATGTCCACATGATATCTTGCAGAACGGAGGATTATATGATCACTTATCTTAGGACACATATCTGACTGGGTCAGAGTTCGAAAGTGGCTTTTGAGAGCTACAATTTGCTAATTAGTTTTTGAAGTTATAGTAGCAACTATAGTTATTAGACTATCCAAGTGGGAGATTTTTGGATTAGGTGTCTAAGCCCATAACTATAATTGGTATATACTTAACTTGATAGTAGCACAGTCCTTCTGGGTTGCCCTCAAAACTAGCAACTGGACAGATGATTTTGGAGAAAGAGGTTGATTTACTATTTGATTAATAAATTGAAATAATGATTTGTTAATATATTATGAGAATAATATATTAATTAGAAATAGTAATATTTAATTAATATTTAATCAGAAATTAATTGGAGTTAATTTTGGGATTAAAGAAATTAATCAAAAGTGTAGGGGCTAAAGTACAATTGTTCAATAGTTGAGAAAGAGGCAATCTAGAACCCTCCATTAGGTATGGATGGTTTGTTCATGCCTTAGGGATTCTAGAATAATCCCTGGTGGATAAACAAGAAAATGGATAATTACCCAGTTTAAGATAATCTTGGATTAGGTCTTATCTAGGGTTTCCTGACTGTACTATATAAACAGCCTACACCCTAAGATTTTCAGCCACTCTTTCTTTTGAAGTGATATCCGAATTTTTTAGCCTCTCTCCTCCTTCTCAATCATCTTCCCTTGCTAGTGTTGGGCGTGAACCACTAGAGGCGTGATATTTGCGACGCTTGCTCTCAAGGCTTCATCAACACAAGGATTTGCATTGTTATTACAACATGACAATCAAGGTATGATTCTTATAACCCTATTTGTGTTTTTTTGAGAATATACTACTGTTCCAGGGTTTCTATTTTTTTGTTCAAGTTGTATGTTCAATTAGAGAAAACATAGATCAATTATTAGGGTTGCATGCATACATAGGATTTATATGTTTTGCATAATACCCATCAATATGCCCTAAAGATTGCATTTTTATGGACAAAAGGACCAAAAGGGTTCTAGATCTACCAACAATCACTTCTGGAGTGAAGCAAGAGGCTCAAGAATCAAACCATGGACTCAAAGAGCATAAAATGGCACCAAACTAGATCTAACATTATGGATTAGCAAGATGGAAGATTTTTACCTCACAAGGAAAGAAAATGAAGAGCTAATCTGAGGTCTTCAAGCTCCAAGCACAACTCCAAATGGTTCACTTCTTCTTCTCCTTCACAATGCACCAAAAATCACACTTTAAGGCTCAAACTCTCAAGATCTCACTTAGGGTTCGATTTTCTAGACAATAAGGGATGGAGGCTATCTAAACATGACCTAGTGAGGCTATCACAAGGTTTAAATATGGTGCAACACCCTAAAATTAGGGTTTCACTTATCCACACGTACGCCCCGCTTACACAAGCATACGCCCCGCATATGTGTCCGAAGGCGCGATCATGCATCGAGCTAGTACGCTAAGCGTACCACCCTGTACGCCCTGCATACTAGCGTTAAGGACCATTTTGCAAACTTTTTCGATTAAGGATTAAATATGAAACTTACCATTTTCCAAGTGTTACACAATCTCTATTCTCAACGATATTGGCTTCTTTCTTTCCAAATTTATCTTCCTACTCAAAGCATCTGCTACGACATTCACTTTAACATGGTGGTAAAGTATCTCACAGGCATAGTCCTCGAGTAACTCCAACCAGCATGATGTCTCATATTCAATTCTTTTTTATTAGAGAGATACTAGAGACTCTTATGATCAGTGTAAAGCTTACACTTCATGCCATAAAGATAATGCCTCCATATCTTTAATGCAAATACTACTGCTTCCAACTCTAGATCATGAGTGGGGTAGTTCTTCTCGTGCTCCTTCAGTTATCGAGATGCATATGCAATTACTCTATCTCTCAAGGTTAGAACACAACCTAACCGGACTCTAGATGCATAACTATAAACTGTGAAGTCTTTAATTCCTTTAGGTAAAGAAAGAATCGGTGCTTCACACAAATTCTTCTTTAGCTTCTCAAAAGCTTCTTCGTGCTTCTCGATCCACGTATATCTAGCTCCTTTATGGGTCAAAGCTGTTAAGGGAGCAACTCCTGAAGAAAAGCCTTGGATAACCCTTCTATAATATCCAACTAATCCTAGAAAACTACGAATCTTAGTGGGACTTTTTGGTCGTTCCCACTTCGTTACAGCTTTGATCTTTGCTGGGTCAACCATTATTCCTTCTTGGTTAATCACATGACCCAAGAATTGGACTTCCCGAATCCAAAAATCACACTTGGAGAACTTTGCGTACAACTTCTCTTTCTTCAGAACTTCTAACACTTCTCTTAGGTGTTTTCCATGCTCCTGCTGGCTCTTCGAATATATGAGAATATCATCAATGAACACTATTACAAATTTGTTGAGGAAAGGTTTACAAACCCTATTCATCAAATCCATAAATGTTGCTAGAGCATTGGTAAGTCCAAACAACATTACCAAAAACTCATAGTGTCCATATCTCATTCTGAAAGCAGTTTTCTCTATATCCTACTCCGTACCCTTCAGCTGAGGATATCCTGACCTAAGATCAATCTTCGAGAAATAGTTCTCACCCTGCAGCTCATCGAACAGGTCATCTATCCTAGGCAAAGGGTACTAATTCTTTACCGTCGCCTTATTCAACTCTTTGTACTCAATGCACATCCTTATGCTTCCATCTTTCTTCTTTAAAAATATCACCGGAGCTCCCCACGGTGAAGAACTAGGTCTAATGAAACCTTTGTCAGATAACTCCTGAAGTTGCATCATAAGTTCCTTCATCTCCATCGGTGCTAGTCGGTAAGGTGCTTTGGCTATCGGTGTGGTTCCTGGTAACAAGTCTATCCTAAATTATACTTGTCTATCAGGGGGAAATCCAGGATGATCTTCGGGAAAGACTTCCAGAAATTCACACACAAACCAGTATCCTGTGCATCTCCTTCTTCTCTTTCTTCGCATCGATTACGAACACTAGATATGATGTACATCCCTTGGAAAAACAATTTATGGATTTCATTAGGGAGATGATTCCAGAATTTACTCTATGTTTGTCCTCGTACACCATAAATGGTTCTCTTCCAGGCGGTTTGATCACTACGATCTTCTTTCTACACTTGATGTTGGCGTTGTTCGTACTAAGCCAATCCACGCCTAACACTATGTCCGAGCCGTTTAACTCAATGGGCAACAATTCCTTGCAGAATATATTCCCATTCAAGTCGATGACGATGTTCCTAATGCATTCACTAACAGGTACGAATTTGCCACTAGCTACCTCTACTACTAGAGCACTATCTGGTCTATTTATAGGAAATGCTAGTCTTCTACCAAATTTATGCAAAATAAAGGAGTAGTTAGCTCTAGAATCAAATAAAATACTGGTAGGCAATTCATTTACGAGAAAAGTACTTGAAGCGACATCTGCTTCCTCCCTTGCCACTTCCAGTGTCATCTGGAATGCTCTTGTCTTAGGCCTTGGTTGCACATTAGGCTTTGCAACCTCCTTCATCTTCGGGCAGTCTTTTGCAATATGCCCCTCTTCATTACATCCGTAATACACCTTCTTGTTGGATGTACCTTTTTTGGCATAATGACTCGTCCTCCCGCACTTGAAACAGGTCAATTCTTCGCCGCACTTCCCAGAGTGCTTCTTCTTGCACTTCTCACACCATTTTGCTTCACCTCCTCCTCCTCCAAATTTCTTGGAACCAGACTTAGAGAACCTACTTTTCTTGTTTGACCTTGAAGATCCATAAAACTTCCTCTTTTCTCCTACCTCAGCTCTCTACAGACCCTTCTCCCTTCACTGGGTCTCAACATTGTTAACTACCCAGATGGCAGCTTTCAAGGTTGTTGCTTGTTTGACCATTGGAAAAAAGTTTGCTGGCAATCCATTAGAAAAATTGTTGACCTTGGAGAATTCAGTTAGAACTAAATAAGGAACAAGCTTCATTTTCTACGTAAAACTTGCAACATACTCGCTAACGCTCATCCTTCCTTTCCTTAGATTCTAGAACTCATTGTTGATCTCCATGTGATCCTGCTCAGAGCAGTACTACATTTTCAGTTGCACCAAAAAGTCTTTCGAAGACATCTTACTAGCTTCTCCTTTGGGCATAGTATCAGCTAGTATCTTTCACCAGCTTAATACCACAGTCTTCAACTGTGTAACCACGAGAACGGTCTTCTGCTTGTTGCTGCAATCGCAACTTTCAAGCATCATCTCCATCTCGGAGATCCAAACCATGACTTCCACTGGTGTTGGGCTTCCAAAAATATTTGGTGGCTTGGATGCCATGAAATCCTTGTAGTTGCAACCACGTCCGTCATCTCCTTCATTTAGTTGGTTCATTCTAACCACACGAGGTTCCACACGACTGACAGTCCTAATATAGTTCCCTTCTTCTGACTGTTCCTCTTCCAACCCTCTTTGCATAATGGGTGCAGTAGGTTCTCTCCCATTCTCCTGAAGTAGACGCCTTGTCTCCTCCATCTAAGGGTCTAACATCATCTGTATCATCTCTTGGACTCCGACCATCGTGATTGGCTCGGGTGCAGCTGCTACTTCTGGTGCACACTCAATCACTCGTGGCTGAGGCTGTTGGTAACTGTTGACGTTTCCTAATCCACTATGTGTTCTAACCATGAAACTCTATACACCAAATCAGACGTTTGATGTATAGTGATGAGAATATAGATATAGAAGAATTCTATAGACGATAGACGTATAATCCTCCTTATCACTCTGAAATATCATATGCTAATTCTAATATCGTACTTATATGTTTAGAATTATGAACACATAAATTTCCAGATCCGGTCAGGAATAGACCATAGATCCAAACATCCTAAAGCATCTAAGGGCATCATATAAATTAATTAGCACATAAAAGCAATTTTAGGCATCTTTCCTAGAATAAGCTAGTGCTAGTGTCTATTCAAGCATACTTCCTAAATATAGCAGACACTCATCTCACGATCATCGCTTAGCATTCTAAATTTAAGTCTAGAAATCCTATAATATTACTAGTTCACTTAACCTAATGCTCTGATACCAACTGTGACATCCCCAATTTCACAGCCAGAAAAGACCGATTTATTTATGCTTATTTTGAAATCAGAGTATCCTTCAAAGAATAATATTACAAAATTTGTTCCAAAAAACATGATAATGATATTATCAAAACATTTCTGAAGAAATGTATTTTATTTATATTGAAAACCTTGGGATGTCATTGTCGATACAATACATAAGCATAAACGAAAAAATATAGGCCTTATACTAGTTTATCTAAACTAATGGTCTATAGTCATCCATAAATCTCTAATCTTATCATCACACCTATGCTCTTGTGCCACTACCTGTAACATAAGAAACTGAGTGGGTCAGGCTTGGGGGCCTGGTGAGCACATAGGATTTTCAACCTATAATAATTAAATCTTTATTTATTATTATCAAATCATCAACCCGATTACCCCTTCCCGTTATCCTCACTCTCTGTCCCTAACATCTAGTTTCAATGGACCTATCCTAAGGATCATATTCGGGATAAAAAATAATGCTTATGGGAGTCCATAACAATATATGTCAGTAAAGAAACCATGGGGTGGATGGAGTACACCTGGTGAACACTAAGTTTAAAACACCTACAAGTTGTGAGCCTGCTAGCGTTCCACTGGACTGTCTAGAATAGTCTGTGGTCGTTATCTATACTCCGCTAGACAATTGGATCATCTTTAAAGTTAAGGCATCTAATCATTTATATCATATTTCATCTCTCATCATCTATATCACCTTCATCTCTCATCATCCATGTCATCTTATATCTACCCATCTTTAGCCAACATATTTATAGGTAATAAAATACATATACAGTTTAAAATCGAGTAAAACATGTATAAGTCCTTCATCTAGCTTAGATATCAGGGACACAGATAATAGGTACATATAGCATGTAATTATCTTAAATACTTTATATCTATGTGTAAGATGAAAATAACTATGCACTCACTTGATAAAATGGGTGACTGGTGATCTGGGCAGAGCTTCGTCTAACACCTCAGATATTCCTTGACGTGACCTAAGTATAATTACTACAAAGTTTTAGTCTAATGATCCTAGATACTAAGAATAGTCTAGATCCTCACTAATCCCAATGTTTACATCAAGATCTATCAAGTAAGGATCATCCATGTAGGACAGTTGGAAGGCAGGATCATTTTGGCATAATAGTTTTTCTGAAATCCAACAACCAAGCCAACATGACCTTTCAAGATACCTCTCCCGTAAGTAGATCAATCAGTATAACGACATGGAATTACTGATAAATCTTATTTATAGGTTCATAATGACGACTTATGACTATAAATATAAGTTACACAGAAAAGACTAGAGTGTAGATTAACTTACAGAGGTTCTCCTGACAAAAGTTTGGAAATTGAACCAGTAGAGCTTCTACTCACTAGCTACTACTTCTTCAGGGATCGTAGGGTTTCGCCGAAGGCTAAAACTAAGGGAAATGGGATAAAATCAAGAGAATTTCAAGAGAGGAGGATGGGGAGTGAGGAAGCAAATGAGTTGTCGAAGTCTATTTATATCGTAACTGCGCACTACGCAAACCTGAGACATTGCTAGGGAGAATCCCCAAGCAAACACACACATACACACACACACACACTCTCTCTCTCTCTCTCTCTAAAGTCTACATGATGCACTCATACCTAAAATGACCACTCACATCCACGTTATATACTAGTGGAAAGAATATACTCTCATACAAGGGAATATTCTAACCTAATAAATCACTCATCATTGTAGAGCGTTTTCATGCTCCAACAATATCTCCTAAATTCTCAGAAATGGCGACGGTAATAAGCAAAACATCCGACAGGTAGGCTTTGGTGCTGAAGTGTCTCGAAAAAGTTAAAGTTGTCTTGATCTCGGAATCTGGCAATGGAATCTCTATCATCAAACAACATACAGAGGTCCTAACTCTCAATAAAATATGAAATACCAATCTTCAAAACTGATCAATCCCTAACAATCGATCATGTTCACAGTCTACTCCTCAACTGTAGAAACGAAGAGCACAACGTCGAATCACACAACGTCTTCAATATTTCGAACTCGAGTGATAATGCACTAAATAATATCTAAAGAGTAACCTACTGAATATATGAAGCATCCTAAAGTAAATTCCGAATGATAAATAATGTGAATCCGAAGACATGGTCTAGGAATGCCAAAAATTTGATCGGAAGATGAAAAATAAGTGCCACGTCATATCGCTAAAATAATCTTCGTCTTCAAATTATCGCAAATCCAAACTCGAGAAATCATAAAATCTGATCCAAATGTTAGGAAAATATAACGCAAAAGTTATACGAAAGAACAAAACCCTAAAAGTATTGATTGGGGCCTATGTTTAACACAGTTTCCTTAAAACAAATTCGTCTTATATGGGTGTTTGTTTCCCAGGATACAA